GTCGTCAACTTTAACTAAATATCTCGGTTCGCGGGGCAGAGCGACACTTTTTTTTAGATTCGTGCAAAGATTCATTTCGTGCAAAAACTCGTCGAATAAGTCTAATTTTATTAAAATCGGTGAGATCGTTTTCTGCATAATTACCAAAGTTTGAGTTAAATGAAACTTTACAATTTGTTCGACGAAAAAAGACAAATATTCATAAAGAGAATGAATAATCACAAATTTTTAAAAATTGCTTATCAACAAGAAATGTTGACGTATGAATTATATAGGTTTGGCAAAATAAGTGACCTTGGTATTACTTTGGCAAGTAATCGATGAAACAATGAAGTTGTATTGGATACCAATTATTTTGATTCGATTTCAACGGTTTTAATCAAATTTGTACAATTAGCTAAAACACGATCGTAAGAAAAAATAAATATACTGTAAAATATACAATACATTGAGAAAAATTATTGTCATTGGAGATAAGCTAATATACTGACTGAGAATTTACTTACACATTTTTTTATTTACACTTTGAGATTTTACACGATAATCCAATGAACAATTTGTTTCATTTTTTTCATATTGAAAAGTTACAATAACAAAAAATCACTAAATATATATTGTAAGGAGGTTGCAAAGGATTAGCATTTTTAATCCTGATTAGGATTAAAAATGTTTAAAGGAAGGGAAATAAATCATAATAGCGGAAAGAAAAGAACATTCAGGAATATATAGAGAATCCTCAAAAACACAAACCTTCGAGAGACAATAATAATAGGACAAACACTCGAGGGAAATCTTAGTATACGAGGTCTGTCCCAAAAGTATCCGACCTACTTCCATTTTTCGGCGCTTGGCTTATTCTTCGTCATCCGGTTGGTGGCATCCTTCGAAGTAGTCCCCATTTGATTGAACAACACGCTCATATCGATGCTTCCACTTCCCAAAGCAGTCTTGAAAGTCAGTTATTGGAATCGTCTTTAGTGCATTCGTCGCATTGGTTTCAAGTCTTCTTGTCGTCGAATCGGTGTTCTTTAAGAGGCATTTTCAATCGAGGAAATAGCCAAAAGTCGCAGGGAGTTACGTCGAGACTGTACGGAGGCTGGCGAAGCTGTACAACACTGTGTTTTGTTAAATACTGCTGCACAAGGTTTAATGCATGCGCTGGAGCATTGTCGTTTCGGTCATTTTTAGCTACTTAAAAATCCGACGAACGTGAAAAAGACACTGTAAACAAATACACACTGCGTATGAACTATACGTCCTACTAGTGTCGGCGACCGATAAATTCGTAAGGTCCTACTGTTGACGTGCCTGCCTGGTAGAGGTCGCTAGAACACTTTGGCGCGAAGATATAAATGCAGGTCGGATACTTTTGGGACAGACCTCGTATGTCAGGTATAGTGGATGGACGGATAAGAGCGTGGAAAGGGGCCAGTGCACTGAACAGAACTATGTCATTAACACTTTATTCGCGTCTTGACGCCACGTTGATTCGAAATACAATGCTTGATACGGGAACGCTTCCCGACCATCCCGTTTGTACCTTTTCGCCTTAAGCTATGTATCAAGTGAACACCCAATCAGATGCTGTCCTCAAATCAGAGCCAATAATGCGTCGACTCTTATATTTACATGATTACGAGATGAATAAATCGCCAATAGAAGCGAAGGAGACTGGCAACTACCAACGCCATGTTCTAGTGTATATCGGCAGTGTATATCGAAACATGCCTCAACTAAATTATCACAGAGCGGGAAATTTAATTAAAATTAAACGCATACTACCGTTCGTCTCTTGTAATATATTGGGTCATTTAAAAAGTATCCGCGGTACTTTGTCACTAGATATATGACCATCAACACACATCTAGTGACAAAAAACCGCGGATACTTTTTAGATGATCCAATATTATAATTTCTATTCACCGCGTCTTGAAGTTAATTTCAAAAATTCAAAAGTAAAACTATTAATTAGAAGTAATTTTGTGACTTCCAAAAGGCATTTTTCTGTAAAAGCTTTTAGGAAAGACCTTGCATGCACACATGCCTCCATCACATCGTGATACGTCCTCGCATGTGTGTCCCCACCACGTTGTGAAGGCAACATGATGTTTTTTGTATGCACGACGTGATTATCACATGTGAGGACAATGTGAGCCCTCACAAATTGTTATCTGGGCTGTGCAGACGTTGGACCCTCCTGCACTAGATACTATTTTAAATCTTATATACTGTAATGCAGGAAAGATTATTATTCATTATCGTGTGAGTGCAAAAGATTTGGGTTGAAATATTCTGACCTTTGCGGACACTGCCAAGAAACCGAATGCCTCAATGGTTACGAAATAGAGGAGGAAATATGAGACGCCAAATAACAGACGCCAATTTATAATAGAAGACGTATCCGAAGATGCGTACATGTTAATTAAATTCATATTGTCAAATTATATCTAATTTGAATTATTTTTAATCATTTCCACTTTACTCTTACTTAATATGTTATTAATATAATTAAAATCACATATACATTTAATAAAATATCTATATATAGCAACATATAATTATGGATAACAATTAATATACCAATAAATGGATCTTTTTTCATAATTGTTCTAAATCAATTGTCCGTAAATCAAAATGTCTTTAAAAAATGATATCTCCGTAACTATCATACGTACATTCAATAAAAAATTTTATAAATAATTAAATACTCTTTTGATTTTTTTGTTATATGCATTTTGTACGTAAGTACAATCAAATTTGAGATATTCGCAAAGCCAGAACATATTTACGTAACATTAAAAAATAAGGGATTCTTTAAAAAATCTCGGAAACTATTGAGCTTGTATGAGGTTCATTAAGAAACGAAATTGTGGGGAACTTGTCAGCTTTATTTTCGAACTGAACATTAATTTCCGTACAACAAACAGTTTCTAAGATATTTGTAAAAAATCAATTTTATGCGATATTTTTTCAAGATGACGCAACCGATCATGTCCTCATACATGGATAGTTTGTTGTTATGTTATGTTAAAAAGAATACTATTACAAATCTATATACAAAAATTCAGCTTTGCAGCAATTTTTTCCTTTTTATCGCCAAAAATCATTTAATTTTTCTGGGCTAGTAAACTTTTCCGAAACTACACACAGAAAATTCCAAGAAAAGCAATTATTTATTTTATTTTTCTTCTTTTCAGTAATGATTTCAGACTTTCAATAAAGAATATTTTCTCTCTCTAGTCTTAAAATGTATTCATTCCATGTTTTAGAAATACTCAATATCATGTACTCTCTCAAAATAAGAATTTATTCTCTTTTGAAGTATATTATAAAATTTGATCTAAGAAAAAGTCAGATTTGATTAATTTGAATATTTAATAATATATTGATGTAAGAAAATTTATTTGGTCAGAAAAATTTGGTATATTTCTTTCAATTCTATACAACAAATTTAGGAAAAGCGAAACTAATTTAGAAACAAGAAATTTTTTTCTTGTTTGAAGTAATTCATATTTTCAATTTTAATAAATATTTATTTTGGGATCAAATTGTGCAAGTTAATTGTGTTTTTTCATATAATATTTATCTTAATTATTTTGAATTAATAAATATCAGCATTTCGTTTCCATATAACCTCATCAAATAATAATATGAAACTATCATCATGAAATTAAGAATGGTTACAGTAGGAAATATACCGTTGGCAATGACTCGATCACAAGCATGGTGATTAGCTCAGCATAAATGTATTAGGTCTTTCCATTCTAGAGATCGTAGGTTCAAATCTTGCCGGCAATGCAATGCGTTTTTCAATAATTACTTGTAGTTAATAAGACAGAATATGAGTATACGAAACAGTAAAAATATAAATTAAACTGGAAAAATAAAAAGCAATAATAATAAAAAAATTATTTTTTTTGTTAAGATATAATCATAATTTTCTTATTACAAGTAAATATGATATTTGATTCAAGCAAAGAAAGAATTCTTTTTAAGTAAATTGAATTTTTTATTTAATTTAATATTTTTGATTGAGAAGTATTAAATTTTCTACAATACAGAATATATTTTAAATAAATCGAATGTTTGTGATGAACTTATAATAGATTTGCGGAATATATGAATTTTTGAAATACTTGGAAGAAAAGTCATTATTACTTGCGTACAGTATATATTCTGCGTGTATTATTATGCCACAGCATTGTATGTGATGTTTGACAATATTTCATGATTTTACTTTTTTTTTCTTTCTGCAAAAATAAAATAATGTAAACTATAATAAAAAGAAGAGCATAACCACAATACAAGATATTTTTTGTGATTTAATAATACAAGATATTCTTTGTGATATTTAATTTAGTAAATTATTTATAAATGTAATTACATATTAAATATCATAAAGAATATCTTATGCTGTGGTTTTATGCTCTTCTTTTTATTAATTTTAACTACGTTTGTTATAATTATATAAATTATAATAGTATTGTCATTTGTCATGTGTAATCGGAAGCGTAGTCTCTTAAAATTACGTTACAGATTTCTTACAAAAATTTCTCCTTTTGATGAGATTTTCTCAGTCCTATTGCCCGTGGCCGAGCGTGGTGACTTCTCTCATATGCCTGTGGTGCGCACGCTGGTTCTACACAGTCATATGGGACCTACAGTTTAACGTCGATGATTTATTAAAGAAGTGATCTTGGCAAAGATGTTCTCGGTGGTTTGTCATTGCCTTCCGAGAAGAGCTACGAGAATTCGAAAACATTTTTCGGTTCTGCCTGAGATCGAACCCGAGATCTTTGGCATAGCAGTTTCGTGTGCTGCCTGCTACGCCACGCTCACACTCATGAATCATTAAGATTTCTTAATAAGATTCTTTTCTCTAAGATTTGTTCTGAAACTCCTTGTATATTTATATACCTTACGTTTTATATTTTTATTAATATAATTTTGTTAAGTTTTTTCGAAAAACGTAAATTAATTTTCATTTATCTGTTTTTCAGTGCGTGGCAATGGAAATACATCCTATGTACTTAATGATACCAGCCACCCTGATGTGTTCATTTTCATTTCGCTTGCCGGTCGGCACACCACCGAACGCAATTGTAACAATCGCAGGACATATCCCTACAAATTGGTTAATTGCTGCAGGCTGTGCACCTTCAATTTATAGTTGGCTAGTAGAAATCATTTTCTTCCCTACATGGGGTGTTTTCGTTTACGGAATTAAAGATTTTCCTGATTGGGCCAAACATCCAATGGAAAATAACACAGATGTATTTCGTTAATTAATTGAAAGCAATAATTTCAGTTATGGAGCAGATTAAATCTTAGCTTTCTGTATTTAGTTTCTTTTTACAAAATTTGACTCACTATTAAACTCAAATATGGAAAATTAACATTTTGAATTTGTTTATACTTAAACTACATCGTTTTTAATTTTTTTCAAGCATTACGTTACTTTAAGGGAGTATATTAATATAGTAGGGAGTATACTATTGTACTTTACAAATATATGTACGAGAATAATATTGTAAAGAGTATTGTGATATCTTTCTGAAATAAAATTTAATATAACTTAAATAAAATAAATATATAAAGAAAACTTTTATGCCTAAATTACATTCCATAAACATAAAATAGATACGAAATATTTTTCTTACACTGAAAAAGTACTTGTGTGAAATTACATGATTATGCTAGTTTATTTTTCGACCCATATTACAGTTCACATAAAAAATTATAGATTATATTAATTTTACTTGCAATATGTATTTTCAGAGTTCCATATTGAATATGATATTTCACATTCAAAATTTTATCTCGCGCTAAAATCATGCACACAGTATAATTTTGGTATGTTAAATTCTATGTATATGACTCTGTATAGAAATATATAATTTTCGTTTTTATGATTATCTCGAATATGGTTTTATACGAGTATATTAATTTTTATATGTTATATTAAAGATTAATAGAAATCAAGTTCAAATATAAAGAAAAATTTTTTTTTCATTTTTAACATATATTGCTTTTTTATTATTCTTATATAGAATTAATTTATAGTTTCAAATACAATTTATTAAATATGCATCGCATATTTCACAATTTTTGAAAATGCATAGATGGTATCGACGGAATTCGAACCTTTACGACTTCTGGAGTAGTAACTAAACACGGAGCTACAATCGCACACTGAAAAAAGTATTTATTAAAAATGTATTAATGGTTATACTTATGAGTCTTTTCCGATCTTACCAGCATAATAATGTAATATTGCAATCAACATGAAAAATTACAGATTATATTAATTATATTTTGGCATTCTACATAGAATTTTATTGAACATGAAATTTTACATACAAAATGTATAGGTAATCAGATCTATGCCGCTTTACCCATTATTTTCTCGGCGCATTGAATTTACAGATTCTAATTAATTACAATAATCACACAATAAGTTTAAAAATCTATTTTTTCTGAAATTCTGCACGAAATTGTTTTTTCCATTTATATTATACGTTGTGAAAATCTCGCTTAAATTTAAAACTACAAATTATTTTTATATACAAATAGTATTTTTATATATATTTTTTTACCATTTTTTTACCAGAACATAACATTTAATAGCGCCTCGCGCGCACTATTAAACTTTCCGACTTATAAACTTTTATAAGTTTTAAAATATAAATTAAAATTTAACTTTCCAAAAACTCTACGAATTATAAATTTCAATAAGGCTAACAAATAATGGCAAAGAGTCACGTAGGTACTCAAATAATTATATATTTATATATTACAATATATTATAAATTCCAGACGTTTCGGTTCTCACGGAACCATCTTCAACGGACAATAAACAACTTACAAATTCAATCAATCTTCTAAATTCCTACTCGTACAATGCAGTCTTGTCTTATTCGTTAGATTACAATTTTTTTGTGATTCCTCCCTTAATATCTTTGCTATTATATAGCGAATCCTAATGATTACTTATGGAATTATTTGTTCAGTAGCTCGCCATGACGCTAATATACCAATACTCAATTACCAACACTTATTATAACCAGCCATTTTTATTTTCAAGTATTTCGAAACATTTTTGAATTACATTTTAGCATTTAATTACACCTACTTCCTCATTTTTTTTAAACTTAAGCGTATTATCACATTAATATATATATTTTTGAGTGTGTTATTTGTTATTTAACATTTTATTTGACTGTATATATTTTGAATTATGCAAATTTAAACAATAGCATGGCATTTTGCTAATATGGCCTTCTATGAATATTAATTACTCACGACCTCTTTTTTGAGATTTTCATATCAAAATAATTATTTCATAATTTTTAAACTTAAGCGTATTATCACATTAATATATATATTTTTGAGTGTGTTATTTGTTATTTAACATTTTATTTGACTGTATATATTTTGAATTATGCAAATTTAAACAATAGCATGGCATTTTGCTAATATGGCCTTCTATGAATATTAATTACTCACGACCTCTTTTTTGAGATTTTCATATCAAAATAATTATTTCATAATCGATTGTAACTCTGTTAATCTACTGTTAATCTATAGTTTATATTACGTGTAATATTTTTAGTACTAAGATTTTTACTGAGCAGCTTATATGTAGAAGTTGTGTAAATGTATATACATTTATTTGCATATATTTTTAAATGTTTTATTTTTTGTTAATTTTGTACCAAATATTGTTTTCTAAACAAAACTAATATTTTAAGGTTATTTTTATGGAAGGTCACATTACTACCCATTTTTTCTTTGAGTCATTATGCAATGTCGTCACATTTTTATTAATAATATCCATAGTGGAATTAAAAAGGTGAACCAAGGTGATGTCTGCGCAGTAGGTTGAAAGTAATTATTTATCAGCTAATCAAATTTTGAGCTAATTTGCAAAGATGCACATAACTCGTTCACATTGCAAATAAGCTCAATTTCTGATTGGTCGAGATCTCAGATCATGTGACGAGTCCTCCGCCATTATACGCGTTCACCTTTCTAATTCCACCATGATAATATCTTAAGTAATCAATATTTTGTAACTTTGAGTTCGGAATTGATTCAACAAAATTTTAACGAATGTAATTGTCAAGCTTTAAACTTAAATATTGATTATTAACAAAGTTATTGTGTAAAATATAACTGGGTGCCATAATACCACCTTCTCTTCTATTAGTATTCTTTTAATATTACAAGATATGGTTTTGAAATTTGTATGAAATAAAAAAGTTAATCCTAAGCACACACAGTATTAGCTTTATTAATATTCATTTGACAAAAAATTGTTGTACTAAATTAAAAAATAAAATCCAAGTGATATTATCTTTGGATGAACTGAAAGGAAAGATTATATTCGATAAAGATCTTTATTGGAATTTGTTTATTAAAATTATGACTAAAATATTGTGAAAGTTAGAAGGTGCTAACAGTTAAATTACAATTCAAGAATACGATAGCACTAAATCTTTAATTCATTGTCATTTAATTAAACATTTAAGATTATAATAACATGAGTAATGAAAATATATGTCTTAATTTTATAATTATATAATGAAATTATAACAAAAGACATTAATATTGTATATAACATATATTGATGTATCTTCTTGTACGTTTTAATAATAAATAAATTTTTATCACATTAGAATATTACATTTTTAAGATTATTTTTAAGATCATTCAAATTCCGTTCAAATATATAATATATATATATATTTGAAAATAATATCATATTTTCTTTCACATCTCTTTTCCTTTTTTTTCTCTTCTCTTTTTTTTTATTTTTTTCAGATCATTCCTTTTCTATTTCTTCGTCTTTTCCTTTCTTTTCGAATCTTTCTTTTTTTATAAGGCCTTTCCTTTTCATGAAGATCACTAATAACTGAAAATAAAATATAATTCCAAGATATTAACAACACATTAAATATAAATCAATTTAGAATAAATGAAGGGTTAAGAGCCGGTTATGTAACAAAAAATTTTTTAATTTAACACACGAAAATAAAAATAGTTACATACGTTTCGACACCAATCGGGTCATTCTCAATGTTACAGTAAATATAATTATAAAATTATCGGAAATCTATGTAGTACAACAGTATTCTTCATGTTCTATATTAAAGTTGCCAGTTAATAATTTAATAAACAATCTCATCGTTGTAAATTCTCGGCAGTAAAACCATAATAATCTTATTAGATAAAAAGTCGAGAGTATATAAAAAAAGAAAAACGCAAAAGGATGCACATTGTGGCTACAAATGTTGCAAGTTAATAACTTAAATAGACCAACTCATCATTGAAAATTCACGGCAATAAAATAGTAATAATCTAAAAGTAACCAATAACAAAAGAGAATTAATGCTGAATGCGTAAAATTAACAATTTTATATATAAATATAAAAATGTATCTTATTTAATAGTATGTTGAGTATATAAATAAAAATGAACGCAAAAAAGTTGTGATCCACGTAACAGACAGTAGTTATTACTTGTGGAGCTTTATTATTACTTATTATAAATATAAATATTTTGCTCCATATATATTATATCTTCTTTCATACTTCTTTTCTTTAATTTTTTTCTTTCCTTCTTTTCTTTCAGTTCTTCTTCTTTTCTTTTTTTCTTTAGGATGAATTACCAATATAAAGAAAATAATTGTTTAAAAAAAGAAATATGTATGCAAAATTGAGTACATAAGAACAGTATTCTCAAGCGCCATTTTTATATTAAATACGGAGAGTACAAGAGAGAGTACATAAAAATATTAAAATAATATAAAATAAAAATAAATAAATTATAAGTAAAGAAACTCGTACAACTCTCTCTCTCTCTCTCTCTCTCTCTCTCTCTCTCTCTCTCCCTCTCTCCCTTTCTACCTACTTTTTTTCTTTTTTTTACTTTTCGCTTATTTTCTTTTCACTAAAAATATAAAAAAATATATGTACCTATATAAAAAAGTATACAAATTTTATTATGATTTTTCTTTCTTTTCTTCTTTTTTTATATTTTTCTCTCGTTCTTTGTCTCTCTATTTTTCGATGTCTCTCTTTTCTAAATTTTGTCTTTCGTCTCTCTTCTCTCGTGTAACATCTCTCGTCTTTAATCTTTCTGATCTCGTCTCATCTCTCTCTGACTATCTCATCTCTCTTTCGTTTTATCTCTGGTCTCCTTTCGTTCTCACTGTCGTCTCTATTTCTTTCGTTTTCTTCTTGTTTCACTCTCGTCTCGCATCTCTTTCCAGTGTCTTGTCTTGTCTCTGTCATCTCTTTCTTGTTATTACTAAAAAATAAATAATTTATAAGATATATTATATAAAAAATGTACCAAA